TCAGTGNTAAAAGACTTTATCACTAAAAAACCAGCATTACAGGAAATGTTAAAGGGACTGCTATAATTAGAAGTAGAAATAAAGAGAATGAGAAACAGCTATAAAAAAACCAAAATGTCAGTGGATAAGTATCGTTCAATAATAACCTTAAATGTAAATGGATTAAATGCCCCAATAAAAAGATATAGGGTGGCTGAATGGATAAGAAAACATGACCCAACTATATGCTGTCTACAAGAGACCCACCTCAGAACAAAAGACTCCCACAGGATGAGAGTGAAGGGATGGAAAAAAATTTTCCATGCAAATGGAAATGAAAAAAAAGCTGCTGGGGTAGCAATACTCATATCAGACAAAATAGACTTCAAAATGAAAACCATAATGAGAGATAAGAAAGAACATTACATAGTACTAAAGGGATCAATCCAGCAAGAGGATATAACACTGATAAACATATATGCACCCAATATAGGAGCACCTAAATTTATAAAAATACTTCTAGAGGATTTTAAGGGAGAAATTGATAGCAATACATTCATACTAAGGGACTTTAGCACCCCACTGACTTCACTGGATAGGTCTTCTAGACAAAAAATTAACAAGGAAACAGAAACCTAAATGACACACTAGATCAGATGGATTTAATCGACATTTACAGAACGTTCTACCCCAAAGCTGCACAATATACGNTTGACATTTACACAACACTTAACCCCAAAGCTGCTGAAAATACATTCTTCTCAAGTGCACATGGGACATTCTCAAAGATAGACCACATGTTAGGACCCAAAACAAGTCTCTATAAGTTCAAGAAGATTGAAATAATATCAAGCATCTTCTCAGATCACGATGGCATGAAACTAGAAATCAACTACAATAAAAACACAAAGAGATTTAAACACATAGAGACTGAAAAGCATGTTTTTAAACAATGAATGGGTTACTAAAGAGATTAAGAAAGAAATAAAAAACTTCCTGGAAACAAATGAAAATGAACACACAACAACTCCAAATCTATGGGACACAATGAAAGCAGTCCTGAGAGGGAAGTTCATAGCCCTACAAGCCTATCCCAAAAAACAAGAAAAACTTCTAATAGACTCTCTAACCCTACAACTTAAAAACTTAGAAAGAGAACAACAAGAAAAGCCCAGAGTAAGTAGAAGGAAAGAAATAATAAAGATTAGAGCAGAAATAAATGACATAGAGACTAAAAAAAACAATACAAAAGATCAATGAAACCAAGAGCTGGTTCTTTGAAAAGATAAACAAGATTGATGAACCTTTAGCCAGACTCATCAAGAAACA